TACGCGTTCCTTGCTTCGCTTACCGCCAGCGCAGTTATCCCCCTTGTAGGTGATGGTCTTGTTTGGCAGGAGTTTGAAAAACAAAGCAGTCTCGTCTGCATTAAAAATGTCACGTGGCGAGTAGCTGCGCAGGTAGTCTTGCAGCGCTCCACTCTTCCACGTTGCGCACGTTTCCATGTTGGTATCTTGCCCTTCCCCAGACACTGCACGAAAAACAAGGTCGTGCCTCTCGCGAAAACGGTGAAACCACCCTTCGGAGGCGGCGAAGTCGTCGTGTTCCAGGCGCAGTGCAAAGTCGGCTGCCTTCGCCATTATGACGGAGCCGCTTAGCGGAAGGTTCAAACTTCTCATATCTTTGGATCCAAGTCACCAAAGCTTTCTCTAAATCCGGGTACTTGGCAGGGCGAAGTCTTTTGCGGTCGCCACTGAAGGCTTCGACCTCGTAGGCATCCACGATAGCCTTCTTATTCCGGATGTACGTAGACAACGTGCTTCGAGAAATTCCGAACTTCTTTGCGATATCTTGCTTGCTTGCATTCTTGGCATCGACCTCCCGAAGAATTTCAACTTTTTCCTTCAGTGTTTTGGCGCGGTACTTTCCGCGAACCGACGTCGACATCGCGAAACGGCAAAAAAACAAAATAAGCGAGAGGCGGAAAGGCCTAGCCGGAGACGACGGAGATGCTAGCTCAAGGACAGCCCGGCGAGCTGGGTTGCTGTGTCGGCCGCTGCGCCGGACGCGCCATCTATCGCTTGGCTTGGAAAGCTCTTCACTGCGGTTTACTATACCTCCGCACGGTGGCGCTTGGTTCGAATTCTCGGTGGCGGAACAAATTTGCCAACCAATTAGAGGAATATTTACACATGGAACTCAATGCAGCGTGGCCGGACCATGGCGGCTGATTCGAATTATCGGTAATTTCGAATTAATGAAGTGTGAATTATCGAGCTTTTACTGTACCACCATCTGTATCCTATTCAATGTATGTTGACGATGTGCAGATATTGTTTTCTTCTTGTAACCTGTCCAGCTGTGAACGGCAATTGCAGCTCACTATCAATAAGATGAGCAGGTAAGCTGATCAAAATGGCTTCAGCTTCTCTCCCGAAAGGACAATCTGTGTTCCCTTTTCACTCTGCCGTGGCCTGTCTCCAGATCCAGTGTTGCACTTGAATGACGTTGCTATATCTGTAAAGGAGGAACACAAGTTTTTAGGAATAATATTTGATAAAAAGCTCACTTTTATACCCCGCTTGAAAGAGTTTAAGCATAAATGCCTACGTTCATCAAATATCCTCAAAGTCCTGTTGCATACGTCCTGGGGGCCTGACAGACGGTGCCTCTTATGACTGTGTAACTCCTTGGTGCGGTCCCGCCTGGACTGTGGCGCGATTGTTTATGGATCGGCGCGTCCGTCTGCCCTAAAGATGTTGGACCCCGTCCACCATCTGGGGCTCCGACTTGCCACGGGGGCATTTCGAACATCACCTGTGCTGAGCTTGTATGCTGATACACATCAAATGTCCCTGGAAAGACGAAGGCAATATTTGAGTCTTTGTTATCCTTACAAGATACTCAGCTATCCTCAACATCCCACTTTTGATGCCCTCCAACCTTCTAGATCCTACAGACTCTTTGAAAACAAGCCTAGTATTGTTCGGCCACTGAGTTTCAGAGTTCAAGGGATCACTACATCACTCCATTTTCCCTTAAGTGAGGCTGCTTTGCTGAGGAGCAATGAGAGAGTTGCACCTTGGGACCTTCTGCCAATCTCCTGTGAGTGGTCACTGTCCAAGTACAGAAAGAGAGCTGTTCCACCATTTGTTCCTCAACAGGAGTTTTTCGATTTAAGGGGGGGTACGGCCACGAAATTCCATTTTTTTCCGAAAAAATGCATTTTCAAAAAATATTATATTTGGGTTCACTATGTTCTGAAGCATAGTTTCAGAAAGTTTTATGTATAAATGCGCAGTATTTATTTCGCAAAAAATTATTTTCGGCAAGCTCGCGGCCGCGCGCGGCGACCCGCCGAGCAAGCAGACGGCGAAGTTCGGCATTTTCAAATTAGGCCTACTCCGCGCTCGTTCGACGCAGCCGAGATATCTTACCCTCGTTGGAAGCGCCGTTTCTTCTAGTTTCTGCCCACAGAAGCTTGCTACGTTTGAGGCTATCTGTGTCCCTGGAGAACCCCGTACATACAAGCAGAAAAAACGTGGGAACTATGATACCAGCAATCCCATTGGTTGTGACCCGAAACAGGGCTCACGATTGGCCGCCTGCGTGCGCTATCGGCAGCTTCTTTCGCTTCTGATCGTATCGCTTCTGATCGTATCGCCAGTTTGCCGCTGTTTAGATTCGTTTTCCCTCTTTGTTCCCGGTAGTTTTTCTGCCGAGAAATGCCTGCTTCCAAAGTTAGCACTCGCAGTAGCTTTGGCCGGCGTTCTCAACGGCGGAAACAAAGGGCCGGCGGAGACGGGGAGCCGTCTCCGCCGGCACCATCGTCGCCGTCTCCGCCACCGTCGTCACGATCTCCAAGCTCAACTGGTGCTTGGCGGACATCGGAGCCTACAGCTTCATCTCCGAATCGGATGTGCTCACCACGTTCGAGAGGAAGCTCAGCCTGCGCGATTTCGACGCGGGGATTACGGACGACCCGGAGCTGACAGACGCTCCCGTTGAAAAGCCCCTGAACGGCTCCTCAATGTGTCCGCCATGCAGACTCTTGTTGCGATTTTACTCTGCCTCAAGTGCCACGGAAAACTACTGAGCTTGCAGGAAGTTGACATCAACGTTTAGTTTGTTGTTAGCTGCTCGACTTGCGGAGACATCGTCGCGACACCGCACTCACCATCAATCGGCAAGTTTCGAGAGAACGAACTCGCGGTACGTCTAGGCGTCGTTGGAAGAGACTGTGGCATCAGTTTCACAAAGCTCACGAATCTCTTCGGGGGCCTCAAAGCAACTGCCCTCCTCATGCTCATGTAGTTGAAGGTGCCACCAATGACTCGGGTAAATTTCGAGTTTCTGGCACCGTCCGAAAATAAAAAAAAAAACAAGTTGAAACTTCAAACGCATTTTTCTCAGTTTCACTTTTTGGCAGGAATTCTTGTTTTAGGAAAGCTATCATTTGACATTCTGAACACAGAGGGACATCATTCAAGGTTTTCTGGGACTGAAATTTTCTGGGGAACAAGATAGATTACTTCACAGTTCAAAACATCTACTCCTTCATGAAAAAAAAAATTTTTTTTGAAACAAAAAATTTACATTTTTTTTTTAAATTTTGGGATGTTCTTATTTTTGTTATAATTGAATATTTTGCAATTTATTTTTTATCTAGGTTGCACTGTGGGTATTGTTCTTCACATTAAAGCAAAAAGTTTGCCACCAGCTAATTTTATTTTTCTACGATAGACTTCCTAATGAAGTGTCTTTTTTCTGAAGTGCGAGAACCGTAGCATGCTGTAAAGTTGACCAATAATGCTAAAACTTTGCAGATTATCCTTCCTCATAGTGCTGAAATAACCCTCAAAATTTGAACCAAATTGGGTGAAGGGTTCAAAAGTTGACCCTCCCAGGCCATATCCCCCCTTAAAACAGAAATACAAGGACTATTTGCATTTTTACACTGATGGGTCTAAAACATCAACTTTTGCGGGATGTGCAGTTTATTCCATTGCTTTTAGGAAAGTTCGACAACTTAACACTCTTGCAAGTATTTTTACAGCTGAATTGTATGCCATTTTAATGGCTGTGGAGTATTTATTAGAGAACAATATCATGAAAACAATTCTGTTTGTCGATTCCCAGAGCATTCTTCTAGCAACTTTGTCTTTAACAGACAGTAAGAATCCTCTTGTGCAACGTCTTCAGGTTCAGTTAAATCAAGCTCTTCAACAAGGACACCTGATCAAATTCTGCTGGGTCCCAAGCCACATGGGTATTCCTGGCAGTGAGAAAACAGACTTGCTTGCTGCCTCTGCGAAAGAGTGCCCAAAACTGCCCCTTGGCCTGCCACACCAAGACCTGAAACCGTTCATACAGAAATTGATTATGAAGTCATGGCAGCTGGATTGGGATATGGAAGAAGAGAGCAAGCTCTACGTCATCAAGCCCCTTCTGGGGGTATGGGAGACCTCTTTTCATAAAGACCGTCACGTTGAAGTTCTTCTTTGCCGCTTAAGAGTTGGGCATACCCGTTTGACTCACCTGCACCTGCTTTGCGATGAGGATGTTAAGCTCTGCGACAACTGTGGTAAAGCTGTGACTGTCTTGCACATCCTGTGGCATTGTAAATCTTTAAATCAACAGCGCCAATCATGTTTCCCAGAACTGTTCCGAGATCATCTTCCTTTTCATCCACATTTTCTACTTGGTGATCAACCCTTGGTACCGTTCAATCGAGTTATAAAATTCCTGCATAAAACTGGCTTTTTACACCAGCTGTAGCCTGCAGTTATTTTAGATTGCATTTCTAAGCTCCTTATACAAACCTCTGTTTTGGCGCAATATGGCCTAAGTTGGTCTTGCGCCAGGAAACCCCCAACCATCATCATCACACCCTCAAGTCTAAGTGTCCCTCTAATTTTTTTGTCTGAAACTGTGTCATCAAAAGTTATTGCATGCTTCATCACGGCACAATTTTGTCAGCAATGCTGGCTCACATTTGTGTCTGGAGCAGTATCCTCTTGAAGTTTGCGGAATGCTTGGCACACATGTGCATCCGTGTCAACAGAATGATGACGTTTTGCACATATTTCTTGCACAGTGCAAACTAGTTTGTTATATCCCAGGTTGCGAATGAAGCTGTGTTGTGTTTTCTAGAAATGCGAAAGATATGCATTCACTTTTACAACATGGGCCCTGATAAACCACAATTCCTGGTTGACCGCAAAAATTTGCACCGAAAACACTGAATTTCGGAGTTAAAAGTGAAGCACCGAAACGACAGACTCGAATTTGGAGAAAATTAAACATTAAAAATATGAAACACTAATTTTTACATAAGGGGGAAATTTTGTTGCATCTGCAGAGACCGAACCTTTTTACTAGGGTTCTAATGTTCTTGAGGCAGAAACAAGTGTAGTAAATGACAAGCAGCTTTTTTTCCACGGAAAAATGCCATTATTTTCTACTTACTGATAGACCCCCAAAGCAGAGTGGATCGGTCCCGCTGAGGAGCTTGAATGCTGCCGAGTACCCTTCCGTACTGTGCTCGTTGTGCAAGAGGACTGTTAAGGGGACGGCGCCAGCCATTGTTGCCACCAGCACCACTGTCACGGTGCACTTGGTGGTGTCACACAAGGACGTAGAGTCTATAAAGACAATGTCCCTCGCTGCCTTCAGTGCCTGGGCCCGCCGCATAATGGGAGTCACGACCAGAACTGCCCAACAGCTGCTGGTGTCACTCCGGCTGACCGTCACGCTTGTGCCTGGAAATTGTTAATTAAATTGAGGCACGGCTCTTTTTAATCACTTTTCTCAAGTGAGCTTTACGATGCAATTCGCCTCTGTACCCCTAAGCTTCCCAGCAAAAAAAATGTGTAGTTACTGCCACCATCAAGACTGCCACAGCTACATGTGACGTGCATAGAGCCGAGAAATGTGAATGTGAACTGGTGTTGCTCTCTAATAGCATGTGCCTAGTGGCAAGTGCTGAAGCTCACAGATAAACAATACCTCTCTTTTCACAAGGTGACGCATGGAGTGCAATAATAAACTTTGTATTGCAAAGCCGGTTCTTGGGCTCTGGGAGAGCTCTTCTCAGAGGAACCGATTCCATGAAGTACTATTGTGTCGTCTTCGAATCGCTCATTCTTACGTAACGCACAAATATCTTCTTAGTGGAGAGGACCCACCAGTGTGTGAACATTGTGGGGATACGCTTACCATCATGCATATCTTGTGGCCGTGTTCAGCTTTGGACAAGGAAGGTCGTATTCACTTTCCTGAATTGTTTCACCTCCAAATCCCATTCCATCCTGCTCTTTTGCTGGGAGAATACCCCCTCATCCCATTCGACCGTGTGTTGTCTTTTATCACAAGCGCGGGTTTTATTAATAAGATCCAACCCTACGTCGGTAATTATTATTCTGTAGCTCGTTAACAACAACAGCTGGTTTCTTAAATTTTGTTTGGTGCAGTATTGCCTCCCTAGCTGTTGCGCCATAAAACCCCCAAACATCATCATCATCTTCACAAGGTGACGTGGAAAGATACTCTGGTAGGTCATGTGATGTCAAAAATGAGCCATGGCACTGTAATAACTTGTAGCATACCTCGAGCAGCATAGAAGCATAGAGGGGTGCCTTCTCCTCCAGCTTGGAGAGAGCGTCGATGGGGCCACCACCGAAGCAGGCGCTCCTCCACACGGTGTGCCAGTGTTGCACGGTTCTGGCCAGACGGTTGAGGGCGCCGTTGGCCAGCAGCTCGGGACCGTTCTCCTCCATGCAGAGTTTGCTCTCGTGGAGCCTCCGTGCCTCGCTGGCTGCCATCCCGTCGCTAAAGTAGCCCATAAACGTCTGCCTCACGGTACGTGTGCCCCAAAGGAGGCGCAGAGCGTCTGCTGACTGTGTACTATGCAAATGTTGAATGTCCATTCGTATGACAGTAGCCAAGGGAACGTCCCTGCGCAGGTACGGGTCGTTCTGTTTTGAGCCCTTGCTCAACTTTTTTATCTTTACGTCGAGTCTGGCCATGCGCGCAGCGTTGCGGCGCTCGGACACCTTGTTGCGAGGGTGGTGCTGGCAGCGCCAGACCTTGTGGAAGACCATTCTGAAAATACCACAGATGCAGCAAAGTAAGGGGGAGCACCCTATGAGAGGTTCATTTGGCTCACTCAGATGGCTCACAGATTTGGCTCACACATGGGAGGAGTGTTTTTTTCGAATGGTGTCCGCGGGTGCTCTTCAGGCGTAAAATTGATCGTATAAATAGACCAATGATTGGATAGCAGTGAAACCCCTCAAGGTCTCTTTAGGAGGTGCATTTATCATACTCAAATTTCATGAGTAGGTTCCCGGAATAAAATCTAGGAAAAGAAAAACGGTATATCTCTATGGCATGGGAAAGTGCCGAGAGCCTACACTAATGAAATTTGGGTATGGTAAACACACCACTTAAATACACATTGGCAGGGGTTTATCCAGAATTTTCAACATGGGGGGGGGTCACAAGTTTTTGGGCGGCTGTGTGGGGTGTGTGGGGGAGGGGGGGTGTAGCCTTGTTTGTGCTTTGCACAAAAAATTCGGGGGGGGGGGGGGGGGGGTCGGGCTTAACCTGGGGGTGTGTTAGGGGGGGGGGTATAATGCTCTGCGACATTGGAAAGTTTCTCCGCTTTCCATTCATTGGCTATGCGCTCCATTTCACGACTATTAACAACTGATTACACAAAGTTTGATGGTGTGAAACAAATGCCATTTAAGCCCATTTTCACCCTTACTAAGCAGGTTCAAACAAATCCGCTGCATGCTCTATTTTTTCTCGACCTGCACGTCTGCCTCTCAGTGACGAATGTGTTTTCCATTCGCTGTTTTCTCAATAACTGTTCTGAATTTAGAAAACCTAAATAGCATGCCGAGACGGCCAAAGATTCAGGATATATAGTTCGAGTAGCTCAAAAATCGGCGGAGTACCCCTTTAAGAGAGCCGCATTCCAATTATCATCGATGCGGTCCTCAATCGCGGAAAGCATGAATGACATGAACGTACCGTTGTCCCCTCCTTCTGGACCTTTCGGACGATCCAAGACGTGTTTGTTTGGAGACTGTAGGCCTCCAGCCATTCTTCGACGGCCGCTTCGTTCAGGTTCGCGCGAAACACTGATTCCTTTTCCGTCGACGTGAGGTCGTCCTTCACTATCTTCAGCCGCTCGAGCGGCGAAGGAGGCTCGTCCATCGTTAAAAAAATTCAGCGGTTCAGTAGCAGTGATACACAGAAGACAAGTCGCACTTTCGTTTCGCGCATGAAAGCACAAAGCTCACCACTCTGGGGAACGAAAAACAGTGATGCAAAGCACATTCAACTCGTGCACGAATGCGCAGAGGTCAGGATACTGGAGAAGAAAAGTAACGGTGATTCAACCCGCTCACAAATGTCTCGCAGAACACGTCGCCGATGGTTCATTCAGTGACACACAACACATGTACCCGCACCACCGTGGCCCGCACCTTCCCCGCAGGGGGCACCTGGGAAAGCAGGTGTTTGGAGAGTGGTGTCTCCACGGACCCCGAGCCATGCGGGTTCGCCCGCCCACGTATGGGTGTGCGTGGCTTTCCCGTGTCTGGGGAAAAGGGAATACTGGTGGTTGAGCCGAGCCCGGGGCAGGTTTGGACCCTTTGGGGCCCCCCGGGTGAGGCAATACACCACTTCGGCCCCCGCTTCTCATAGACGGGAGTCCTGGTAAGGCCCGGCCAGGATGATTCAGTCTAGTCGCCATTTCTTCTACTATCCCCTCCGATCTTTCACTTTTACCTTTCCTGCTTCCTTTACTTCTCTCTCACTTATCTTACTCCTTTTTCAACCCTCTTTGGCGGCAAGGGCTAACCTTGGGTGGCAATGGACCTCTGTCTTGACCCACGCTTGGGTATAGTTTCCCGGCAGCACTGTTAGCGTTACGCTAACAGTCTCCAGCCAAGCCCATCTTGTTATGGTGCGTCACCTAACCCCTTGTTGGGCTTGGTGGTGGGCGGTGCACCGCGGATACCGAGCACTCTTTGCCCTCCTATGGCGCCCCACCCCTCCAAACCCCGTTCAGGGCAAGCCTTTAAAAGGCGCTGCCTTGAACACAAAACCATTGAAAAAGAATCTAAGGAAGAAACCTTTACAAAGTTTTTTGTCGTTCATTCGCTGGATGAACAGAAACCAGTTGCAAAGCTCTCACCCTTTGTTGTAGCTAAAGTTTTTGAGCGCCTTGTAGGGTTCTCCTATAAGGCTAAGAAGCTCCACTGTGGAGACCTCCTTGTGGAGGTAGAAACAAAAAAAAACAAAGTGAAGCACTCTCTAAGATGACCAACATTGTTGATTTGAAAGTGTCGGTGAGCCCTCATCGTACACTTAACACCATTCGTGGTGTCCTCTCTGAAGACGACTTCCTTCATACCATTGAGGATGAACTTCTTGAGGGCCTCGAAGGCTCTGGTGTCATCGCCGTCAAACGAATAATGTTTAAAAAGAATGGTGAAGAAATTCCCTCTAAGCACGTTATTTTGACTTTCGAGAGACACACTCTACCAGAGACAATCAAAGCAGGGTACCTTAATTGCCGGATCCGCCCTTATGTCCCCAACCCACAGCGGTGCTTCCGTTGTCAGCGTTTTGGCCACGGGTCACGCAGCTGTCACGGAAGGGAGACATGTGCAAAGTGTGGAAGTCAAGGCCACGTCTCCGACATTTTCGGGACCGTGGCCCATTGCGCTAACTGCGGTGGACCACACCCCGCTTACTACCGCAGCTGTCCTTTCTTTCAGCAAGAAAAAGATATTCTTGCCCTGAAAGTCAAAGAAAATATCACATACGTGGAAGCAAAAAGCGTTTTTCTTTTTTGTCAAAGGGTAGTTATGCTGAGGCGGTGCGCAGGGGCCCTGCACCGCGCTCGGAGTCAAGGGCCACCCAGGTCTCTCCCGAGATCTTGGCGGCCGACCTCAGGGCCCCAGCTCCTCGACAGGGGCAGCAGCAGCTTCCCCCAGTCCCTGGTGGTAGCACGCGTGCTGCCCCTCCATCCGCCCCCGCAGGGGGCACCTGCGAAAGCAGGTGTTTGGAGAGTGGCGTCTCCACGGACCCCGAGCCCCGCAGGGGGCGCCTGCACCTTAGGTGCTAGGTGCCTGGTGAGTTGCGTCACCACGGTCCCCAGCTACGTGGGCCACCATACCCGCACGCAGGGGGCACCTACTTTGGTAGGTGCTTGGTGAGTGGCGTCACTACGAACCCCGAGCCACGTGGGTTCGCCCACCCACGTCTGGCTGTGCGTGGCGTACCCCGGGGAAAAGGGGACCCTGGTGGTTGAGCTGAACCCGGGGTATGTTTGGACCCTTCGGGGCCCCCCGGGCGAGGCAATACACCGCTTCGGCCTCTACTTATCGTAGACGGGTGTCCTGGCTTGGCCCGACCAGGATGATTCAGTCAGTTGCCTCTTCTACTATCCCCTCCCTACTTTCACCCTTGTCTTCCCCTCCTTTTCACTCTTCTCATTTCTCTTCTTTCCTTTTTCAACTTCTTTGGTGGCAAGGGCTAACCTTGGGTGGTGACAGACCCCTAGTCCAGAACCACACTTGGTTATAGTTCCTGGGCAGTGCTAATAGCATAACGTCTCCAGCAAAGCCCTTTTTGTTATGGTGCGTTATCTGTTCCCTTGTTGGGCTCCGTGGTGGGCGGCACACCACAGGTTCCGAACAAACTTCGCCTCTTATGGCTGCCTCCTCTTCTAAACCCAACACGGTGCGCCCCCCTAAAAGGTGTTGCTCCGTACTTACTTTTGAAAAAGCATCTGAACCTCCAAAGTTTCCAAGATTTTTTGTCCTTCAAGCCCTTGATGAAGAAAAGCCACTGGCTAAGCTCTCGCCTTTCCTTGTATCTAAATGCCTTGATGCCATCATTGGCAAAGATTTCAAGGCGAAAAAGCTTTCTGGCAATCTTCTCGTAGAAGTAGAAACTGAAGTTCAAAGCAGGACACTTCTAAAACAAACATGTCTAGGAGAACACAAGATAAAGGTCAGCCCACACCGGACACTGAACAGTGTCCGAGGTGTCATCTCCGAGGCTGATCTCATTGACTGCAGTGAGGACGAAATTCTGGCTGGACTCCAGAAACAGGCTGTGGTGGCCGTCAAGCTACTCCTGCCCGTCTTTGCGGATGGTTATCATTATCCGCAAAGACGGGCAGGAGCAGCCAACCAAGCATCTGATACTGACCTTTGAGCTGCATACGCTTCCTACGACCGTTAAAGCTGGTTATTTGCACTGCAAAGTCCGGCCTTTCATTCCCAATCCACAAAGATGTTTCCGATGTCAGCGCTTCGGGCATGGCTCGCGGAACTGTCGGGGCCGTGAAACTTGCGCAAAGTGTGGCAGCAACGACCATGTTGCTGACATTTGTGAGAATACTCTCAAATGTGTCAACTGCCAAGGCAATCATGCTGCTTATGCCAGAACATGCCCACAATGGAAACAAGAAAAAGAAATTCTAACCCTTAAAGCACAAAAGAACATTACCTACCCGGAGGCAAAACAACAGTATTCCTTTCTTGCAAAAGGAACTTTTGCCCAAGCGGTGCTAAGGGGACCAGCACCGCGAACAGAATCGAAGGCCACCCAGGTCTCGCCTGAGGTCCTGGCAGTGGCTCTTCAGTCCCCAACCCCCCAGCAGCGGCAGCAGCCTCCTCCGGTTTCTAGAGGAAGCGCGCCAGCTGCTTCCCGACCACAAGACAGGCAGGGAACCCCTCTGTCTGTCCCGACTCCGAGGGCCCCCACCAGGGAGAAGGAGCGAGAGTCTCGCCCCAACTCACGGGAGAGGACCTCGTCCAAGGAGCGGCATCGCGCCGCTCCTTCAACAGCTGAGGGGCAGGGTCAGATGCAGTTGGGCGACACTCAGCCCAGCACCTCCACTACTGCTCCTTTGAGTGAGGGCGGTCGTGGCCGGGGAGTTCGGCCCTGTGCCTCGACATTGCCCAGACTTATACAACAAGCCTCGTCTCAAGAGGTGGAGGCGAAAGACGAGGCCACCGAGCTTTCCGCTCTTTCGTCCGACCAGGACGACATGGAGTGGGAGACAACCAAATCTAAGAAAAAAACAAAAAAGCCAGTAATTCCACCAAAGTAGTTTTTTGTGGGAACTACATTTTTGGATTGGATTTAATTGACTGTGTTCCGTATACTTTCATCTACTTCTGATATTAATGCCTCCACTTCTCCTTCAATGGAACTGTCGAGGCTTACTTGCAAACTATGATGATGTTACTGAGCTGCTAGAGGAGCACAGTCCTATTGCCTTCTGTTTGCAAGAGACTCACCTGAAGGAAAGTCACTCGAAAATCCTGAAGCATTTCCAGCTGTTTCGCAAGGATCGTCAACATTCGAGCCATTCGTCTGGAGGTTCTGCTGTTGTTTTACAACGCTCAGTCCCTTGCACTGAAGTTCCCTTAAACACATCACTAGAGGCTGTTGCTGTCCGTATACTGATTGACCGTTTAATAACTATTTGTTCTGTATACATATCTCCATATTATCACCTGGAGTATAAAGAGCTCGAAGCTCTTTGTGATCAGCTACCTCCTCCTTTTGTGCTCGTAGGCGATTTTAATGCTCATAACCCTCTGTGGGGAAGTGCACGAAGGGATACACGAGGAGCGCTTATTGAACGTTTTTTTGGTTTCAACAGGATTGTGTTTGCTCAACTCTAAAGAGGCTACACACTTTTCCTCAGCAACACATACATTCACATCAATCGACCTTTCACTTGTGCATCCGACATTACTTCCACTGTTGTCATGGAAAGTCATCCCTAATCCCTACGGCAGTGATCATTTTCCCATTATTTTAGATTTCCAGAATCATCCTGTCACACTTCCAACACGGTCACCTCGGTGGAAGTTTGACAAAGCCAACTGGACACTTTTTAAGCAATCATCTCTTTTAGCTATTACATCCCTCCATCAGCTCTCTGTCGATGAGGCAACAGGTCATGTCACAAAACACATACTAGAAGCAGCTATGCTTGCAATACCAATGACGTCCACTCACTTCCCCAAACGGCCTAAGCCGTGGTGGAATAAAGACTGCAAAGAGGCAAAGAAGAAACAAAATAAAGCATGGGGCATATTTAGGCGATATCCAACGCCAAGTACAGTGCAGTCCACTTATAACGATATTGAGAAAACCGCAAAATCCAATCGTTATAGCCGATTATCGTTATATCTGGACCGACAAAAAAAAACACAAAGAGAAGTTACTTACGGGCGATGAGTGAATCAGGTCGTACAACGCGAGCCGAGGCAAAGAAAACCGAAGGCTTTATTAAAAGGTACGAAAATGACTATAAAATAATTTAAGCATGCTTAAAAAAGTCGGAAATTTGCGCTTGCTTGAGCTGAAGTTTGACAATTGCCGTGTGCATTGCTTCCAGTTGTTGCGCGTACGCTGGCGGCAGTCCTTTTGCGTGCACAAAACCGACCAGCGACTGGATGGAGAGCAGGGCATTTTGTGAAGACATTAGGGGCGGGGTGTTCTCGTCGCCGCCGTCGTCGTCACTACTTTCGCAGTCGCTCGATGTGAGTTTTCGTCGCGATTGCTGTTCCTCGGCAATGGCCTCATCAGTAGACTCCTCGCATGAAGCGGCAGCGTTGTCCGCGTTCAAAAAGTCTCCCAAGAGAGCTCCGCCGATGTTCTCCTCGGAAGCTGCTATGTGGTCCCAAAGTTCACCCACATCGGCAGGTTCGATGAGCAAGTCATTTGTCTCTTCCGAGACCGTGGCGTTGTGGCGCACGAAGCCTGCCTTTTTAAAACAGTTCTTGAGTGTAACCTGCTTCACCTCATACCACGCACCATGCACGAACCGCACCGCTTCTAACAAGCTCACCTTCAGGTCAGGAGGTCCGCCGGCGTATTGAGACAATCCTGAGCAGTCTAGTTTCATGATGAGCCATTCCAGCATGCGACGTCTGTAGAGGGCCTTGAAATTGGCGATTACGCCGGCATCCATGGGCTGCAGACCTGCCGTGGTGTTCGGAGGCAGAAACATTACCTCAACGGACGTTAGCTTCGGGCTGACGTTGTGTGCGCTGCAGTTGTCGAGGAGCAGCACCACTTTCCTCTTCTGCTTCTCCATAGCGCCGTCAAACTCGAGGAGCCATTCCTCAAAGAGATCTCGCGTCATCCACGCTTTCTTGTTATTTCGATAGCGGACTAGAATGCATTGATTCCTAAAGCAGTGAGGCCTTTTCGATTTCCCGATCACAAAGGGCTTGAGACGCTCGGTACCGTCCATGTTTGCGCACACAAACACCGTCACCCGGACCTTGCTATGTTTGCCACCAACGCACGGGTCACCTTTCAGCGCGTGCGTCTTTGTAGGCAGCATCTCATAAAAGAGTGCTGTTTCATCGCCGTTGAAAATGTCACTTTCTTGGAAGCGCTCCAACAGCTCGGGTAATTTCGTCGCCAGCCATTCGTCTTTCGCATTTACGTCCAGCGAGGCAGCCTCCCCGACGACGTTTTTATAAACGATGCCATGGCGATCCTTGAACCGCTGAATCCATCCTCCGCCGGGTTCGAAGTTTTCCCGTCCCAGAAGGGAAGCAAATTTCTTCGCCTTTGCGGCAAGAATAGGTCCACTTATGGGCACGTTCCGGTTGCGAGTGGTCAAGAACCACTGGTACAGGGAGTCTTCAACGTCGCCGTACAAAGGATCCCTAACCCGCTTTCGCTGGTCGTCGTGACCGCTGGTGCCAGCCTTCTTTAAGACATCTCCAGCCTTGATGATTGTAGAAATCGTTGATTGAGACAGCTCGTATCTTTTTGCGAGGCTACCAACCTTGAATCCTTGTCGGAAATCCCGGTGAATTCGCTGCTTCACCTCCAGAGATATCGCTTTGCGCTTAGTCGGCGCCATTTTTACCTCACGAACGTACGAACGTGCGGAAACGGGGGAAAACTAGGAAGCGTTGCGCGGCGGCGGCCAAGCAAGCTCTTTCTCTCCTCCCTTCAGCGATTGCGATGACGATAGCACTTAGTTCCGAAGGATGAGGCTGAACTTTTTAAATCGGGCGGCGCCTCGCGTCACCTAGCGGATCTTTCCACGCCGACCGGTTTTTGATATTTTTACTAGTTTTCATGTCGTTCGCTTCAAGTATTTTAATTTTTCTCAAATTTCCAGGCAAATTTTTCGTGATAAGCACCTTCCGGGCGGCCAGAATTCTATCGTTGTATCCGATATGTCGCCGATAATTCTATCGTTATATATGGTTTATTTTTACATAGGGGCGATGGGAGAATTGACAAATCTAAAAAATTTGATCGCTATAAGCGATATATCGTTATATCTGGTATCGTTATAAGTGGATTACACTGTAATCTTATTTCGTTCAAGAAAATGAAGGCGCGTGCACGATTTGTCCGCAGGCGGTCAAAGAGGAATTGCTGGGAAAAGTATACATCTTCTGTGAACAGTCAGGCAACACCAAAGGAGGTTTGGGATCGAGTTCATAAAATTAATGGCTCGTATCATGCTTTTTCCGTTCCTCTTTTGACAAAAAATGGAATATGCCCTGAAAGCCTCGAGGAACAAGCAGATATTCTTGGAGAACATTTCGAATTTGTTTCTAGCTCAAGAAACTACACACCTACATTTCTTAAACACAAAGCACAGATGGAAAAGAAGGCTGTTAACATTTCGAGTGGTTTTCAAGATCCCTACAATGCTCCATTCACAATGCGTGAACTTGAAATGGTTCTCCACTGTCCTAAACAGACTGCACCTGGGCCAGATGGAGTTCATTACATTATGCTCCAACATCTTCATCCTTCAACTCTTGAGCTTATCCTATACCTTTTCAATAAAATCTGGTCTGAAAGCCATTTTCCGTTCACTTGGAGGGTTGCCTTCGTGGTCCCTTTGCTGAAGCCAGGAAAGAATCCTTCATGCACATCTAGCTACAGGCCTATAGCTTTTACAAGTTGTTTATCAAAGACTCTTGAAAGAATGATCAACAGAAGGCTCGTGCATTTTCTTGAAAATAACAACATTCTAGACAGATACCAGTGCGGCTTTCGATCTTCCCGATCCACAGTAGATCACTTGGTTTGTTTCGAGACAGCCGTGAGAGAGGCGTTTGTGAACAAACAACACTGCCTTTCCGTGTTTTTTGATCTGGAGAAGGCCTATGATACTGCCTGGCGATTTGGAATACTGCAGGACCTAATCGACATTGGTATCCGTGGGCACATGCTCGGCGCAATTAAAAGTTATCTAGAAAGTCGTTCATTTCGTGTAAAGCTGGGTACCACCTTCTCTCGAGATTTTTTGCAAGAGAATGGGGTTCCCCAGGGGGGTGTACTTAGCGTCACTCTATTTATTATAAAAATGAACTCCATTGCCCATGTAATACCTCGTTCAGTTCAGTATTCTATCTACGTTGATGACCTTCAGGTTTCAGTGTCATCATGCAATCTTTCCATCTGTGAGAGGAGGGTTCAAGTGGCAATCAATAATTTAACAAGCTGGGCTAACACAAATGGTTTTAGGTTTTCTACAGAAAAAACTGTCTGTGTATGCTTTTCTCGCCGGCGAGGATTTTTTCTAGAACCCTCCTTAACCATCTATGGGCTTCCTATCAAGGTGAAAAGTGAACACAAGTTTCTAGGTCTCCTCTTAGATTCAAAGTTAACGTTTGTTCCACACATTAAGCAATTAAAGTCAAAATGCATCAAATCACTCAGCATTCTCAAAGTGTTGTCCCATCAATCTTGGGGTTCTGATCGACTCTGTCTCCTGCGCATTTATCGTGCAGTAATTCGCTCCCGACTCGATTATGGCAGTTTTGTGTATGGTTCAGCCAAAGCTTCAGCATTGAAAATGTTGGACCCCATTCATAATCAGGGGCTACGGCTAGCCACCGGTGCTTTCCGCACTTCTCCGATCGCCAGCCTCTATGCAGAGGCCAATGAATATTCTCTAGAGAAAAGACGTTTCGCCTTGGAGTTTATGTATTCACTCCGAGTAAGATCAGTCCCTCTCCATCCAGCTCTTGAATTGGTTGAAAAAATCAAGTTTGAGAGGACTTTTCAAAATAAGCCAAGTATCGTCCCTCCCTTTGCTCTGAGGCACGCTAAGGCAGCAGAGTACTTTGACCTTGACCCAAAGCCCCCTGTGACAAAGTACAGAAGCTCTGCAGCTCCTTGGGAGTATTGGTTCATTAACTGTAATTTCACCTTGACAAATCACAGAAAGAAAGATACTCCCGATGAAGTGCTGAGGCAAGAATTTTCTGAAATACAAAGCCAGTACCAACATCACTTCAGCATTTACACAGATGGCACTAAAACAGATTCTTTTGTTGGCTGCGCAATGGTTGGACCATCTGTTTGCCATGTAAATAAACTTAACGCTTCTGCTACAATTTTAACAGCAGAGTTGCAGGGTTTATTACTTGCTGTGGAGTATACACTTAAGAAAAGGCTTCGTCGATCTGTAGTTTACACGGACTCTCTAAGTGCATTAAAAGCCCTTGTTTCACTAAATTTAGTCAAAAATCCTTTGGTTGCTCAGCTGCAAGATAAGATATCAGCCACCAAAACTGGGTACGAAATTTTTTTTTGCTGGGTGCCAAGTCACGTTGGCATCCCGGGTAACGAGGAGGCAGATCAGGCCACTCGCTCTGCCGTCACACACTTTGTGGATACAAGAGAAATCCCTCCAAAAGATTACTGCAAGAAGGTGAAACGTTCCATAATGCAGAAATGGCAACATGAATGGGACCGCGAAGTAAACAACAAGTTACATGCGGTGAAGCACATACTGAAGGAATGGGAGAGTGCCCGACATCGCGAACGTTTCTACGAGGTGGTTCTCTGCCGTCTAAGGATTGGCCATACACGACTAACGCACGGGCATCTTCTGCGTGGCGAAGATTCCCCGAAGTGTGAGCATTGCCATAGCCATCTAACCATACATCATATTTTACTTGAATGTAATGCGTATGACCCAGAACGCCTTGACCATTTTTCGCAGCTATACAAAGAGCATACCCCATTACATTTTAAGATTTTACTTGGCGACGAACCTCTTATTCCACACTCTTGTGTTTTTAATTTCCTTAAAGCAATCCCCCGCAGGGGGCACCTGTGAAAGCAGGTGTTTGGAGAGTGGCGTCTCCACGGACCCCGAGCCATGCGGGTTCTCCCGCCCACGTCTGGCTGTGCGTGGCTTTCCCGTGTCTGGGGAAAAGGGCATCCTGGTGGTTGAGCCGAGCCTGGGGTAGGTTTGGACTCTTCAGGGCCCCCCGGGCGAGGCAATACACCACTTCGGCCCCTGCTTCTCATAGACGGGAGTCCTGGTAAGGCCCGGCCAGGATGATTCAGTCTAGTCGCCACTCCTTCTACTATCCCCTCCCTTCTTTCACCTTTGTCTTCTCCTTCTTTTCACTCTTCTCATTTCTCTTCTTTCCTTTTCAACTCCTTTGGCGGCAAGGGCTAACCTTGGGTGGCAATAGATTCTCTTGTCTTGAACCACACTTGGTTATAGAGACTGGGCAGCACTAATAGAGTAACGTCTTCAGCCAAGCCCTTCTTGTTATGGAGCGTTACCTATTCCCTTGTTGGGCTCGGTGGTGGGCGGTGCACCACAGTTTCCGAAAACCCTGCCCCTTCATATGGGTTCCAAGCTTACACCTTCTTATCGGGCCCCCAAAAGGGTCCGCACCGACGCATATCTACCACCTTTGGACAAGAACAACACTGACTACGTCACTAAGTTTTTCATTATACATTTCGAAGTTGAGACGAAACCGATGTCGAAACTCTCCCCTTTCCTTGTGGCTAAGGTCTTAAAAGACTTGGTAGGGGAAAAGTTTAATGCAAAAAAGACTTTTTCTGGAGACCTTTTGGTAGAAGTATTTGAGAAAAATCAGGCAGCAGCGT